GCTGAGGTCACGCACATAGCAATGACTATATGGGTGCTCAGGCGCTAGGGATTAGGGGATTAGGGGATTAGGGGATTTAGGGGGGGGCTTCAGCGCGGGGCTTTTGGAAACAGGTTAGTTCCACGGCAGCGGGGCGCGTACGGAGGAGGGGGCGCAAATTTTGCCAGCGGGGCCTGCGCGATTGGCGGCGCACGCACCCACGGCGGTGGGGGGCCGAGGCGACGTTCTACGGCACGGTGTGCTGGAAAGATATCATACTAATTGGTTACATACATGAATGGACCAGAAAGGGGTGCCCTACCTTGCTGGCATCATGTAGCCAATCAGATGACGTGACGGGGGCCCCACCACGCCGATTGCAGCTCATTTTGGGGGGGGTGCCCAACTTATGCGGTGATAGAATGTCGCCTCGCCGTTGGGGGGGCTTCGTTTGCGCCGCCCCGCGGCCCCCGCGGCCCCTTCCGCGCGCAACGGCAACAAGGCGCGCGCGCGACAGCGCGGCAGCGTCCCACGCGCCCAATCGGCGCGCGTGCGCGCGTGGCGACCCGGCCCCGCCGTGGTCCTCGCGCGGCCGCGCTGAGGTGCGCGCCGGTGGCGGCGCGTTGCGCCCCACGCCAGGCAATATACATAGCCTGCCTGCCGCGGCCGTGCGCGGACGCGGCTCGGGGCGGAGTCGACACGCCTCAGCTCGACGACGCCCCAGACGCATACCCACCCCCCTACCCCTACCCCCGCAGCCATGACGCAGCGCCAGATCGAGCTGCGCTTCGCCGCGGCCGACCTCGCCAACAAGGACTTTCTCTCGCTGTCCGACCCGTTCCTGGTGTGCCACACGCTGTGGCGCGGGCGTCCGGCCGAACGCATCGGCCGCACGGAGACGGTCAAGGACGACCTCAACCCGGTGTGGACGACCACCATCTCGTTCACGCACACGCCCGAGACGGCCGCGTCCAGCCTGCTCATCGATATCTTCGACCGCGACTCGACCAGCGACACCAAGCTCACCAGCCACGACTTCCTCGGCCGCGCCGTCCTGCACCTCGACGCCCTGCTCGCCTCGCCGCACCTCCGCCTCGTCCTCCCGCTGGCCTCGGCCACCCAGCCGCCCGCCAGGCAGAACTCGCTGCTCAACGTGTCCGCCTGGCGCTCCCCGCAGCGCAGGTCCACCTTTTCCAGCCGCCTCGGTAGGTCCGACCTGCCGCAGGGCCTGTCCGCCGTCTCCACCATCTCCGCCGCCACGGAGGACGAGGACGAGCAGGCTTACGAGGGGGAAGACCCCGCCGACGCCCTCGTCGCCCCGGACCTGTGTCGCGCCACTACCTCCTCGCGCGCCTCGAAGAACTTGCGCGGCGAGCTCACCGTCACCGCTGAGTTCCTGTGCGACACCCCCGGCCTGCCCATCGTCTTCCGCGTGTCGTCCGCCCTGCTCAAGGAGGCCGGCCCCATCTTTCAGAGGAGGGTCACCCAGTTTTATGAGCTGCAGAGAGAGAGAAAGGTCGGCGACGAGAGCGTGTGGAGCTGCGTGTATCGGAGTAGGGATGGCGTTAGTGTCGACAGGAATAACTACGTCATCTTTGATGAGATGAGCATCACCGAGCAGCAGCTGCATAACGGCCAGCCCGCCCGGGGGCTGCGACTGGCCTTTTTTAAGCGCAATACGAGGCATCGCCATGAGCTTATTAGCTATGTTAATACATCTGTGGCTCAGCTGGTCACACGCAAGAATCAGCGCAACGCCGTCATCCCGCTCGAGGGGGAGTACGGAGATCAGGAGGGGCTCGGCAACGTTATTGTTACGCACGCACAGGAGGTGCGCTTGGTCGACTTGCAGGGTGATGTAGAGAGAGGCGAGATTCAGATCCACCTCCGGGCGGACCACTTTTTGCACAAGCGCTTTATTAGCTCGTTGAATGATGCACCGAAGCATGTGCGGAAGCTCAAGCAACTGCCGGCCTTCATTACGTTGCATTGAGGCTCGAGGGGATGGGGTGTAGGCTGCCCCGGCTTATTTTCTGCTGTATCTGCTGTATGTACCTGTATGTTTATAAAAACAAAAAAACCAAGACCACATCCTCTATATAGACATTTCATCATGCATTGCTCTTTCCACCTGTGCTTTTGTACAGGTATGCTTGACAAAGTGAATGAAGACCAAAGACAACTGTACTGTTCGTATCTGCTATCTGAATTCGCCTTGCTCAATAAGAAGACGTACTCTCTTTCGTGTACCTGTATGTCGCTAGGCATCTCGCAGCAGCGTCCGTAAGATGGTCTCAAGCGCGGGCATACGATTTGTCCAAAAACCAAAATTTTGCGACAACGGTGCCAGCGTCGCATCTACAACAAACCGCGTCAGCGGCGACAACCCGCCCAACGACGCGTCAACCTCTGCCAGTGCCAGCGGTTGGCGCAGCGATGCCATCACACTTGCCTCATGTCTCGCCTGAGTGGAAGCTGACTTCAGTCCAAGTCGAGCTGCGAGAGATACGGGGTTGCGCACCACATCGAGCCGAACGTACTCGTCCGCCCCTAGTTTTGCCTTCTCCTTCAGGATTTCCACGCCCCTTCCAATGCCCCCGAGGTAGTCTACAAGACCTTGTTGCTTCGCCTGCAAGCCCGTCCACACTCGCCCTTGTGCCACGGCGTGCATCTCCTCGTACGTTTTGCCCCGGCTCTGCGCCGCCTTGTTCACAAACTTTTTGTACGCCTGCATCGCCCCATCTCGGTAGTACTCCGATTCCTCCTCTGTAAACGGTCTATCATCTACGAGTAGCTCCGCGTACTTGCTTCCAACGCTTATGTTTTCCTTGGTGTACCCAATCTTTCGGTACAGTTCCCCGAGGCTAGGTTTGACTGTCACTACTCCCACGCTTCCCGTGATCGTCAACGGCTCGGCAATAATCTCGCATGCCATGCTGATGTAGTACCCCCCACTGGCGGCCACGTCCGATTGGCTTGCTAGCACAGGCTTCACGGCAGCAAGCTTCTTTAGCTCGCTCCACATAATGTCGCTGGCGAGTGCACTGCCCCCGGGCGAATCGCATCGCAGCAAGCAAGCAACATACCGCTTGTCGTCCCGCACCTTGCGGATCAGCTCCACCAAGCTTTCACTTCCCAGCGTATTTCCGGTTACTGGCGATGAACCGTTTTTTCCGCTGGTAATCGCTCCGACAGCACGGATGACGGCAATCTTTTTGCCGCCACCAATGCCTACCATTTTCTCGGTATTGCGTCGTACATACCTGCGGACATCGACTGAATTCAGTGGCTGCTTCACCACCTCCTCCTCCTTCTTGAAAGGGCCCTTCCCAAAGCGGATTTTGAGCTGATCCTCGACATCCGACTCGTAGCAGATACCCGTGATAAGACCTGCCTCTACGTACTCATTCATTTCCCACGGGCTGCGATCGACAAAAGCAGCAAGCTCGCTCTCCGAGATTCCAATCGCTTCACAAACACTCTTCGTCCACGTATTGTGAGTCTCCCCCAACAAGGAATTAATCACTTCCCGTTGGGCAGGTGCCATATCACGCCTCGCAAGCTGATCTCCTGCACTCTTATACTTGCCAATGCGTTCCACTTGCGGAGCCACGCCGATCTTTTCCAGCACGCCCCCGACATACGAACCGCTCGCAGCAAAGCCACGCAACCCCAAACCGCCCTCCGGTGCGACGTAGAGCGCGAAACCCATGCCAAGGAAAAATTCCTTGGGACCTCCCGTCTCCATAAACACAGTAATGCCCTTGCCTGACGCGCGGAAATAATCCAAATGGCGACGCATCTCAAAGACCTTGGCCCATCCGCACGCCAGGGCATCGATTCGCAGGTGAAGATGTGCAATGCGGGGGTCATGCGCGCCGACTCTGAGGGCGTTGAGCAGGACAGGAAGGGTGAGTTCTGGCGGGCCAGAAAAAGGCAAGCCGGACGGAGCGTCGCTTTCAGACATGGCGCCGCCAATGCGTGCCGTGAGCACAGTGCCCTTCGACACACGGCCTCTGACTTGGCGGAGCATGCGCCACGATGCACTGAAGCGACGTATGGGGGAGGGACGCTTGAACGGCATTGCGTGTAAGAGCGTGGAGAGTGGGGGTGGGTTGGGGAATTCGTCGGGCAGTTTGAAAGTGGAACCTGAGTCGGCTGCGGCCGGTTTTGTCGCGTCGATCGTCGCGGTGGAAGCAGGTGGGGATGTCGAAACTGTTGGTGGTTCTTGCTGCGCGTTCATGGCAAAGCGAGCTGCCGGTTGTGGGCGGATTGGGGATAGCGGCACGATAAAGGTTGTTCGTGTGACGAGTGGGCCCGATGTTGGTACGAGAAAGGCGGACATGGCGAGGGCTTCTGTCGCTTTTTCGGCGATGAAGTCTCTGAAACACTCTCGTACGCGGAATTGGCTACTCGGAGGGTGAGACAAGAGAGTGCTGAAGGAGGTTGTGAAGAACAAGCTTGTTGAAATGTTTCAGGTGAAGAGGGAGGCGAGACTACATTTGCAGCAGGGATCACGCAGACAAAGAATGAAGGCATTGATGGTCCAGATTTCGCTACATGTCGCTCAGGACATTTCAGACTGGGCCGCCAGGCCATAGATCCAAAGAACAGTGTTCCGCTCACCTCGGTTTGACCATTCAATTTTTAATGCTTCTGGCTGGTACAGTAACACCGGCTGTGAAGAAAATTAGAAGAATTGCCTTTACCAACTTCCTGGCCATTTTATTTGCAGAAATTTTACTTCCGCTCGAACTTTCACAGACAACGAAAGGTCGTGTAAATTTACAGTATATCGTATACCCTTCGGTACACATGTTCCGTTTCTTATTTTTTTGACCTTTGTGTGACAACCTCTAAACACCAATGTTCCGCCTAAAACGAAAAAAGAACGGGAACGCTTGCTCTCTCTTCCGGCCTGGTCTTTCTGAAAGGGTCATTTATTTCTTTTTCTATCAAGTCAAGCCTATTTAAAGCCGGTGTATTTTAACCTTCACCAAGTGACTTGGACTCTGCAAACTGTCGATCACCATCCCCCTCTATACTTTCCAAACTAAGCATGGCAAAACTATATGAATATGGTTTTCTCCTACAAAGACAACCGTAGTCGAGTCCAACAAGAGCCTCTTTTCGGTATCAGATTCATAGATTTCATTCCTTTCATCAATACGAGTTGCGCTGAGCTGTCAGAAACGGAATCCTCTTTCAAATCACCCAGTCTCATTCAATAACAGCATAATGGAATCGCCTCCGTCGCCCTGCGATACATATCTTATTCTAACATGAGTGTAATTGATGATATTGCTCAATCATGGCGAAAATGGGCATCTCTTTATCATAAAAAAGCTCAACAAAGTAGTCCCTTTCTTTCCCAGACACATGATCTACCCCCTTTCATAGTAAAAACGCAATAAAACAAACTGCTCTTACAACGCACACCTATGTAATCAGCAACAATTACGCTGCGTAGAGGAAACTGATGAAACATCTTGCGTCACAAAAAAAAAATTGCTGGTACCGCGCCCATATTGTCTCGTCTATACTTGTATCACTTTCCTAGACTAGATTCAGCAAATTCCTTCGGTTCCTCCTGTACGCCGTAGGACGTGGCTTGAGTAGCATCGTACAGCTCCTGTGATAGGTGAAGTCGGAGCTTGTGTCAAGTTGTGCAACGAACGCCCAGATCCGTTATGTGCAACTGTCACCGTCGTTTTGATGGAATAAAGGCACCTTCTTAGGCATATACACCATCTTCTAAATAAAACTGCGAGAGTAATGAGACCCTCTGCATACTTCGTGTTCTTTCGTGACTACTTCCTGTCCTATCAGAATATGGGTTCTGGAGATTGTTACCGTGCTCTGGTAACTGACGGCCTATGTACAGCTTTATTCTTAATCGCAGGCGATTTAAACGTTACGGAGACGGCCTCTTTCATGAACGATCGAGTTTTTGCTTACATCCCTGAGACTAGAAAGCACTGGACAAACTAGAAGACTGTGTCTGCCTGAGGATGTGTAATGGAATGAATCTTGCGGAAAGGCCGGAGATGAAGATATAAGTAGAAGCAATGAGGTAATTCAATAATGAAATAAAATTGAGGACATGACCTTGTGAAAATGCAATTGCAAAATGGGCGATGTAAAGACGGCTGTTTTGGAAAGGCAATCCCCTTGATACATGAACAATGCACGTATAAAGTGGGATATTTTGGTGAGGACAAGAGAGATTTTAATTGTGTGGACCGTGGCGGGATTGTGGGCAAAGATTAGAGAGTGCAGGTGTTGTGGGTATGGCTTGGGTGCATTATGATTGTCCTTGTTTTCTTCTCTTCTCAATAGTCCAATGTTGCGATTTTTTTTTTACGTTGGAGGTAGACTAGACAAGACCTTTTGAGCCAACAATCTGCGAACATGAAGCACAGAGATCGAGGGCGATGGACAAGATGTGACGGAGAATACAGGCGGGAAAATGCTGAACGGAGAAGCGTCGGTATGGCAGGTGGGGTATATCTAGCAATGCTGTGCAGCTTTCGACTTGAAAAAAACCTCAAAATGACTTCCCGACGGTGTGGCGTCGTCTCTCCCAACAGACTAAACTCTCACGTCATTCTAGCATCAATTGAGAGGCGAACGCGAATACATCTTCATTGATTTAGAGAGGCGAGTCTTTCCCCATGCCAATTCTTCTCGGCGGGGTGAGCCATATGATTACGGGGTAATTTTTTAGAAATAATTTGAAGATGATGTTATGGCAGAACCGAGCTCGCCACTGCCGGAGTAGCCACGCTGAAGCGGCGTCACTGCTGCCTCTGGGAGAGAGCACGCGCCCGCCTTGTTGCCCAGTGCTGTGAGTGCTGTATCTCTTAACTGCACGAGAGAGACGTGGAAATCGAAACAAGTCCCAACTCCCCCGCCCTGTACACAACCATTGGCCTTCTCTCCCTCGCCGCTCACCTCGCTCCGGGCTCCACCATGGACGTTTGCAATCGCGCGGAGGAGGGGGTGCCACAGGTACACGGTGTGGGTAGTGAGAACTGACAAGCGCGCAATGGCGCCGATGGCCCCGGGCCGGAAATAATGTTGGCGCCCACCCCCGCTCCGAGCCTGAAATTTGTTGTAGTTTTGGTTACGTGCACTCTGTTGCGGTCACTATTGTACAGCAGTCGATTGCTGAGCGGCGCGGGGTCTTGCGTAACTTACCCGAGAGTCTTTTTAGGGTTGTGTGAAAAAGTGGAGTGATGCGAGTAGCGATAGGTGCAAGGTTGCAATGTGCCCCTGATATGCCTGTCGAGCGATCCGTGTTGAAGGTGCGTAGGCAATAGCGCCCTGCGAGTGATGTTCATGTGAACATCACTCGTCTGTGAACAGACTTTGATTTCTGTAGTGTGCTGTAGTGTGGAGCGATATTCGTGGAGCGATACGGCCCGTTGCATCTGTGCGTCATTATTGCTTGGCCTTGTTGTTCCGGGCCTAAATGAACATCACATTTTGTCAGCATGGATTTGCGCATGCCCGGTTACGCACTGGTCGACTAAGACTTACAAATGTAGGGGGATTGGTTGTAGTGTTCTTTACCTTGTACAGCGGTACTGTACTTTGATTCGGGAATGTGAACGTATGGAGACCTTCTTTACAGGAGACGAGCTGGCGGTGATGTGGCGGTTATGTGAATTAAGTGAAATGTTTTCCTTCTCGATCGCAACAGCTTGCGAAGGTAGCAATGGTAAGGGAGGCGATGGAGTTTTGGCTAATGCATACACTTGAAACAAGCAGGGGTTTAATTCTGACTTTCAAAGAAAGTAGGGATCAACAGTCTTCCGTCAAACAATTTCTAAAAGCGCTAATTCCGGAAGGAAGAGCTGCATACTACTATGTGACGATACCATCCGCCCAACCGGAACCACCTTACAGAACAAAACAGCCTAGTAGCGCTGATGATTGCGCAAGTAGTCATCGGGAAAGTCTCTAAGAAACACGTCCAGAGAATCATCCACAAAGCTGTGCTTCTTCGTCTTTCTCGTCTTAGAAGATCCGGACCTGGACGACTTGGAACCGGAATGTTTAGGGTCGACTTCATCGCGCAACTTATTGACCCTTCGCTGAGTATCATCCAATTCTGTCTGAAAGTTCTTCATATCATGCGTCAGTTGCGAAGAGGTCCTGGGTTCGACAGATGACGAAGAGGACGGGCTTGTGCCGCGAGAGTGGGCATTGGCACTTGAGTGGTGCTTGCTACGGCCCTTCTTCTTAGATGAACTGCGCCTCGTGACAGCAGAGCTGAAGTAGCGATCGAGTGACTCCGTCCCGTTCATGATGAATATGTTGTGTGTGTTGAGGTTGACGAGGATGTAAATGAGTTGTGCGAGGTTGTCGGAGATGGGGGATGTGAGAAGAGGGATGGGGCGGGGTTATATAGAGATGGCATGTGGTGAAAGGCTATGATGCGATGAACAAAGAAGTTGTACATTGTGAAAAGATGAGAAGAGGTTGTTGCCATGACTGAGATACGCCTACAGCAATGGCATTGAGTGCTATTCGGCGATGCACCTGCATATCAAGACATGGAGGAGCAGAGGGGAGAAGAGAGCGGGTAACAACAAGGAGTCGAAGCGGTATTTAGAAGGCAAAGTCATATGTGATTTCCCCTTTGGTAATGAGAAGCAAATGCGTTGTCCTGACACAGACTGGGCGACACATGGGCATGTGTGCCCCACGCACATCACATAAAAGTTGAAATAAAAGTGGATCGAAGGGATATCTTATGTGCTGTATGGGGCCTAAAATATTCCCCCTCTATTCCCCCTCTTTGCCCCCCCCTATGCGCGGCAATATGTTGTTTTCAAGAATAGAAAATTTGCATTGCATGCAAACGACCTGATATTCGTATGGAACGGGCAGAGAAAAGAGAGGGCGACGATCCCTTCGAAGGGGACACCGTATGGGCTCTACTGTGATGTGAAGGCGAAGGGGGCGTCGCGGAAACGTCACCGTGAATACCCACTACACCATTGTTGGCGACAACCTCCTAATTTACGTCAAAGCATGCGGTCCGCTTTAAAATCCCGAGTGGTGGCACCTTGGGGCGATGCTTTGCAGTCCAATGTGCGCAGGATCCCGAGGACGAGGTTTAAAGCTCAAAGAGGAGGGGGGGGGGGGGGGGGGGCGGGGGGGCGGGGGTAAAAATGCTTTAATAGCGCAATTTTGTGTGCTGTACCTATTGCACTGTAGCAGAGAGTGCGGGCAGACGGACGCCGTAACTAGCTAGCCCGAATGTTCAGTGAGTGGGGAAACCCCGGAATACTGTATGTAGGCGTGAAGGAAAAGAACCGTGTGCCACAGGGGCTAGAAGACATAGAAACAAGACGTTTTAACTGTACGTGCGGTATACAGATTGTACAGTAGTGTGCGCTGTGAGACGAGTGGAAGGAAGACGTACAAACCTTGAAGGATGGAGGTTGGGGGAAGCAAGTGTGAGTTGTTGTGCGTAAGAAGAAGGGGCGGATGAACAGAGAGCTGCGCTGGATATGGCGGTCATGGTCAAAAACGCCTGAGGACGATAGTGGCAGTGGAGCTTCGGGACAGCGTAGCAGAGATTGCAGCTGTACTGTACCCTTTGTACAGTTCGTCAGTATGATAAATGTTTTCATATATCTGACGCCTGTCATGCCTACAACGACGTTGTACTGTAGGCATAACAGGCGTAAGAGGCGATAGTTTTTCGGCGGGGCCGTAGTTGTACTGCGAGAGGACTCCCTACAGTATACCATACCTCTTTGTACGTACAGCATACAGATAGCGACCATAAAGGCCTCTTCTCCTACTCCTACTGCAGTTCGGGTGATTTGGTCTAGATGTAATGTTACATTTTATTCAAACAAATTTTATGCTTGAATAGCTGTCTTGTGTGCGGCTTGTGTGCGGTACTGCCACCGTTGTAGCAGAGCAAGGCCCCGACAACGTCGTGGCGACGGTCTCTGGTCTAGTTGCGGTGCATCCGGGGCTGTATCCGATGACAGGAGCACTACACCGTGTACAACAGTACAGTACAGCACAGTCCAGCACAGTACAGTCCAGCACCGTATGCGAATCCAGGCAAGGGCACCAAATTCTTGCTAAGCTGTGCTGTATCAAAACCGACACGACAGCGAAATTATGTTGCCCTACTTTTGGTGCATGTAACTCTCGAGCCGTACCCGAGTCAAGCATGGGGGCATCGTCGAAGACATGAGGACTTAGAAACGCTTCTGTCACTGTCGCGAGGGGCGAAGAGAATAAGTTGCTTATTGATATCATACTCTCCGCAGCAAGGAGCTCGGGGTCATTGCAGAGACACACGCCTTTCTATTTCCCATGCACGCCTTTCTCTACAAGCGGTCAGGGGCCCCCCCCCCCCCCCCCCAAAAAATAGCCTCATGAGGCCCTACTCCGCCTCGTTCTCTCAAGGACTGGCCTTGCTCTGCTCCTGCTATAACAGACCTGTCTCTGGCAGGTAAACACGTGCGACGCGGAGTCAAGACCGCGGCTCGACGAAAAGTATTCTTTTCATAATTGCATGGACGACTTTTCCGGGGACGTGTAAATGAACAGTTCGCATCCATCACTTCAGGACATTTATGCTCCCTATTCTCCCCTGCTGCCGGGCACAGGACCGCGAAGCACTTGTCTCCACCATTACAGATACTGTACCCTGCAAACTGTAAAGACACGCAATTCGTCAAACACCCCTCCTCCTCATGGAAAGGGCATGTACAGTATTCGTTTTCGCTCCTACTGTACGTACACAGCCACGCCGGATAGAAGAGAAAGATACTCTTCATGTAATGTTACAGCACCTACGATATCGTGCCAATATGGGGCTGACGAAGTCACCGCTGCCTTCAAGGACAGAATTTTCATACAGCGCAAGGGAGCAGCACTACACGTGATTTAAATAAAACGAAGCGATTCCACGACTTTCATACTCTACCCATGGAACAAAGTTGGGTCAGCTTCTCAGCTCTGATTGCTGAAGACAACAGTCCCACTAACTCCGCTCCTTGATATGATTGCAGCCCCGCCTTTCCATAGCCTATCCCGATGCAAAAGACAAAAAACTATGCACTGATCCAGTCGGGCAGTATTTTTTATATATGTAGTCACAGGATGGTCGTACTTAATGATGCAGTGCTGACCAACGTCCTGATGGACAATGTAAATGCTTTATTCCTTGACTATTGTTGCGAATGCTATGGACAATGAACCGCCAACAATACTGTGGTACTGTACAGTTCAAGTCAGAGAATTCCCCCACGGCGTTCAAATACTGTACCGTTGGTACTGTAGTGTTGCGCTTCAGTACATGTGTCGAAAGCTCTCTGAAAGGGCGGCAATGCCTGCGAAAGGAAATAAGCGTGGTCACGGACGAGCACCGGCCAACGGGGGAATTGCGCCTGGAAGTAGGGAGCGGAGCCGCGGGGAGGACGCGAAGAGAAAGGGCGGGGACTGTGCGAAGGGGAAAAGGGGCGCAGGGGGGTCATGTGTGGGGCCAGGGGGTCGCGGGGGATGGGAGACGGAGCGGGGGAGACAGCGTTCCGAGCGCCTGAGGTGGCGAGAGGGCGCAGAGTAGGTAGCATAAAAGGAACCCGCGGCGGCAGGGGGGACGAGAAAAAGGAGAAGGGCATCAAGTGAATTGGAGAGGCCGAGATCAGGTGGATTCCTGAGAAGTCGAGTGGATTCTCGACGGGCGGAGGCTTGCACCGGGTGGATTCCCGCCAACAGCCTCTGGCCAGCAAATAAAACTTGATTTGACGGTGCTCAAGGGACCGGGCACAACAGTAGAGTACTGTTGCCGTACAGTACCTTACTCCTTACGGTACCGTTACTGTACAAGTATCGCTCAAAAGGACATTGAATAAAGAAATACAAGACAAGTACAGCCTGTCTGTGTCCAGAGCACAGCCACTGTTCTTCTCTTCAACGTTCGTCGTCTTCTCTTGGAAAAAGAGTTTTAAAAACAATTTTGACTGACACGACCCAACTCGTCTTCTCACCGGGTGTGGGATGTCAGATCTCATCTGTGATGACTCCTGAAAAGTCCGAAAACGTGCCTCAATGCGCGGGACCTGACATGAACGCACATTCCCGATCGGCTCCCCTTCAAGAACTATGTGCTCACCAATTTTCTCGCGTCTCTACAGTTGCCTCACCACTGGTACAGTATGAGCCTCACCACTGGTATGAGAAACCGCACGGATGCTTTTCTTCAATCGGTCGGCATCCTGTTTCCTATTTTGATAGATGATTCCACTAGCCGTGCCAAATTGTACCCTTGGTACTGCATATGATGTCATACTGCACATGTGCCGCACAGTACGATGAGATGGTGAGGACAGTGCTGTGTACAAGTTGTATCCTACAATATCCTATCTTTAGGCATGAGGGTGGACTACTGTTCTGTACTTGAGCATGTTCCTTTCTCACCGCCTCGAGCCCAACTGTTTTGTCTTGCCGCGTACCTGAAGCCCCGCCAGCTTGCCATTATGGTCATTCCCTTTTCACCTTGAGGCTGAGAGAAAGTCGCTTCGGTTAAAGCAAAGTCTTGTTCCGTCGCACCATGCCCCTGTACAGTTGGATTTCTCACCCCATACTGTACCTTCGAAGGTACCTGTGCTGCACAATACAGATCGACTGCCGTTGCACAACTTCTCCAGTCCGGCGTAGCACTGTGACATGAGTCTTCCAAGACTTCGACAGTGGTTTCACTTTTTGTGCTTTTTGCATTACAGTGACAGCAAATGCATCATGATTCGCGTTTGCGAGATCAGGTAGCTCCTGAGCTATCCACTAAATTTACCCTTCAAAGTTGCTACAAGTATAGAGTCCAAAGCTGCAGTTGTCGCAAAAACAGAACAAGCATGCACATTTTCATTTTCGTGTCAAAAACATAGGTTTTTACTAGTAAAGGGGTGAGACTTGTTCCAGGACGGTATAAGTGCTACGGTATCCAGAAAGAGCTGGGGTTCCAGACACAAGCAATTGCCGTCGGATCCATTGTATCGTCATCTTGTCAGTCTAAATTAGAGTCTCAGTCACGTTGTCATCGTTCTGTAGAGCATGCTGCATCGGCGAGAACAGGACAAATTCAAAAAATGTCCTAGTTCCTCTTCTCAATCGAAGACAGAATTCTACCGAACAGATCCTCAATCTCGACCTCAAGCGGTGCTTTCTGCTCGGGGGGCACGACAGCCCTCTGGTTCGTGTGGAACCAGTACTGGTCAATCTGCTTCTGCAAGGTCCTGGTCCTCCCATTCGTGGCTCTCAATTGTTTCTCGAATGCATCCATTTTGCGGTTCATTTCGGCGTAGGTGTCACGAGAACTGGTCGGCGCCCTCCTGTGGGAAGAGCTTGAAGACCCGCTGCTAGTTCTTGACGTGCTTCGTGTGGAGCTCTGAGAGGAACCTGTCGTCCTGGAGCTATGAGAGTGGCTTCTGCTGGAACGAGAGCTGCCGTGAGCCATTTTTGCTTCAAATCGATAAACGAAAACTGACTTTTGTTGAAAATTACTCTTGGGGAGTAGTGAGATGAGGTGGTGTGGATGGAAAGCGGGTAACTAATCCACGACAAACTCACCTTTTATATACAATTGGGAGCGAGGAGAGAACGAGAGCAAAACGTTGTCCAACACCACAAAAACCCCGTATTCGCGCGCGGGAAGACTCAGACAGCCTCAAGATACTAGGGTACCTTGGATACATGATGAGGGTCTCGTATTCGACAGCTTCCCTTTTTTCTGGCCAGCTCGTCAAGATTTTCAGGTGTCCATGCAATATTTCCCGCGTACAACGATGGAACATTACATAGCTGGAGCTCCTATGCGAACGTAAAATCTCAATCTTCTCTTTTCGCTATCTTCTCTTTTTAATTTAGCCGCCAAAGAGGCTGAATAAGGACTGAAAACTAGGGAAGGATTGCCCCTCTTGAAGAAATGTGCATGAGAAGCATCTGCATAACAGCGACTACGAAATATGCGCAAATCTTGCAACGAAGAATGGCATGATTAACAGGGCCCAGACGCCGTGCTGCCGCCAAGAGTTTTGCAGTAACAGACGACACGAAAAGAATAGATTACTGGGGTGTGAGAAAAGGCAATTTAATGCGTTTCTATTAATTCCAACTTGACATATTTGCAGATTCGGTGACGACTATCGGTAAGTACCATATGCGCGTTGAAATTAAGCAGTGTCTAGCGAGAAAACAGAGGCGTTGAAAGGCGAGAATAAGGGCCATTTTGACCCGCTGTAGAAAACGCTCTGGGTTCTGTTGTGCATAGTTTATCCAACTAGTAACCCTCCGAAAGCTAAAATCGAATAGAGCGGTGGAGTGCAGTGTCGTGTATTGTATTCTTAGGGTGATGCTCATGTGTAAGTCGGAAAATGATGAAGTGTTGGCTTTTCGGCTTGGCCCTGCGGGAAGAGAAGAGCAGGGCTTTCTTGAGGTTGAACATTTCAATGAGCATCAATGCTTGAAATGGGTGGTACCTGTCGCTTGATGGTATGGCGGTGGAGGAGGAGCGTGAGCGGCGGGCTCTTTTCAAGGCGCAAAAACTACATGACAATGTCAGAGGCCTTTTCCGATAAGATGTCGTCATGGGCGAAACCACCTGGATAAAAATCGCGAGGTTGTTCAACGAGTAGCACAACAGAAAGGGAAGAGACGCCTTCGTAATGGCAACGTCATCGGCCGGGGACTTGTGAGGAGGGAGTGAGCAAGTGACATTGAAAGTGAAAAAAAAAAAATACTCTTGCTGTAGAATAAAAAGTCACATACGGCACATTGAGAAATTCAGAAGAAAGATGATACTTTTTGAGGTGGGAGGGGCGGGAAGATGGGCAGCGCCGTGCAGTGCTGTATGGGTAAAGGGAGGCAGAGGGGAGGATGGTCGTAGACTGCGCGGGAGGTGGTGACGTCGTCGAGCGGTATAGTGCGGTAATGAACGAGGGGCGGGTGGTGATCAGTTTGGCGCCGTGCAGTCTCCTGTAGGAGTAGCGCGTGCGGTGGTGCGGCGATGGTAGGCGGGCGAGTGGTTGGGAGATGACAACTTTTGCTTGTCAGCAGAAAATAGCTGCAAAGATGCAAAATAGGTCTCCCACATGACAATACAGTATATGGCTATTGGACAGATATGCGGCAGGAGTCCTACATAACCGACGTGGACTAGCTCGGCGATAAGAAATCGAAAAAACAAATTTTTTTTTGAGGCGGCATGAGGACTCGGTTCCAACGCCAGCTGGGATACTTGTTGGCAACCTAAAAAAAGGCTCAGTCTCCAACCGGGGCCCCGAGAGCGCAGGCGTATGAATACATGCACCATTTCAATAAGACTGTAACTGTGAAACTTTTGCTCGTCGCGCTGGCCTCGCATCATGTCTATAAACTCTGGATTCAAGATTCAAGATTCAAGAAGCAGAACAAAACACTGTGCATATGGCGGTTTCGGGCGGAGTTGCCCGCCCGGCAGGATTCAAGCATCCTCGGCAGCCGCCTCTCTTACTCCCATGCGCGTACCATATGATAACATGCGCAGCACTCATTTTTCGTCGTCAGCAATAGAGTCTTATGGCCCCGCGCCCCTCGTACGCACCCATTACAATCCGGCAACAGAGATCATGGAGTGAGTTGCTTTAGGAAACCAACTCATGGCGCAGACAATATTTTCGACAAAAACACAAGCTACGTCATTAATTTTGAAAAGTGATTTGGTCAAAAATAGGCGTGGACCCAATCGTTTGGCTTTCGACAAAAAAAAAAGAAAACTCATTCTGAAGCAAGGCGAAAGGGGTTCACATGGATGTACCCTTGGGTACACATGCACACGGGGGATGTACACGTGCGGTACGTACTGTACAGAAGTCGAAGCATGCGGGCGGGGGCGGAAGGTAGAAACTGCGCATTTGCACATGCGCCGGATTGCTGAGGTGAATCTAAATAGTCGTCGACATATATTATATATGACGCACGTGTAGTGTTCTGGGAATTTTTGATGCATCACTAACAATTGCTCTTCGGGCCGGGACATTTCCAAGGAGGTGGCGCATTAGCTAGGTTGCTCGTCTAGAGAAAGAAGGCGGAGAAAGGCAGGATAGATTTGACGCAATCACAAAACGAAATCATTTATTCAACATGCACCATGCAGAACAGGCATAAAAACTAGACTAGAGAGCATTTCGCGGACAAGCATTCATTTCCCATAGAATTGACACATGGACTAGTTATCGGTCACTCGCCATGTCGGCAAGCGGGGCGACTCCCTGGGTGACAAGCGGGGGGGCAGCGAACGAACGTAGACCGTAGCGACGCGGCCCACAGGTCAGAGCTCGAGGGGGTCGTCGAGGAAGAAGGCTTCGATAGCCCAATCCAAGTGTTCATTTTCAGCGGGGGGAAGAATGTGGTCGTCCGCGGTGTGTGCTGTGCGGATCTCGCGCTCGAGGTGCTGGATCCTCTGGAAGGTGTTGGAGAGCTCCTGGCGGAACTTGCCCATGCGCTGGCCGAGCTCCTGCGAGCTGA